GTCGTGTCGTATGATCATGTTTTTTAATGCAAGTCCTCCCTCTAGTGGTATGCTAGCAATATAGCGAGAGAGAGAGAGAGATTAAAAGATCTCATTGAGAAAAAAGTATTTACATTATACCCCAAACATGCTGCAAATATACCTATTACAATTGCTATTACAATGATGCTAAGCATGCTAATAACTTGATACTTCTTGTGCCAACAATGCCATAACACCGAATTCTGCATAGCTTATTCATGTTAATTACTGTGCACCTTTAGCCCCGACAGCAGGGGTGCTTTTTACCCCAAATACCATACTTTTACATATTTTTTTCGTTATTTAAAAACTGTTGCTTTATTAATTATATTAAACAAAACTGAAAATCATAAAGAAGACATTTGTCTCAAAATATATGCATTAATTTTAGTGATTTTCATTTGCTACTTAAATCTACATAAAAAAAACACACACAAAATATTAGATCAAGCAAGCACAGAATCAACTTTACACTGCTGCGCGCGATCGCGTCAAGGATCAGACAAATATACACGTGCATCTTGAAAAGCGGATGTTTTGGAAAGTGCTACGCCACGTTTTTGTGCCATCTAGTGGTTTAGATGAAAATAATATCAAAGGCACCTTTAGCCCCGTTGTACCCTACTATATTATGGTGCATACACAGCAAAATGACGAAAATAATAATAATTTTTTTTTTTTTACATTCAATTTTACTTGATTTAATTAAATAATTTATATTGTATTTGTAAGCTCTTTTTTTCACAATTGTTGTTGAATAAAACTGAATACCCTCAGGGTCATGGACCACCTGTTGTGTCGACAACACCTATTTTGGATGAAATGTTGCATTATTCCTACAAAAGAGTGGCAATATTTTGGCCACTATTGTAGATGAAAAAAAACAACAACAACAGATGGGCTGATGTATATTTACAGATATTTTATTATTTTAATTATGTTGCAAACAATGACATCAAGATATACTGATGGACAGTTATTTATTTATGTGAGTGCACGAGTGTGTCAACAGTGAGACCACAAAAAGCAGAATGAAGTCCTCGATATTGGGGATTCTCAGTACAGTAACAAGGCAGAGAAAGCGAATAGCTGGAGTCAGAGTCCGCTGTGTGCTCACAGACAGGAAGTGACGTCCACACACACACACACATCCAAAGATTCTACATACACAGCTTTGGGATGGCAGTGGTTGGGCATACATGACTCTACTGTTGGAAACAGTACGCTGCGGACCAGCAAGCACAGCAAACTACTCACCACTGATGTAGTCTTATAAGTTACTAACTGTTGCCTTGTACTGCAGCCAGTGGAGAAATTTTCAAACTCGCTCCGTCTGTCTGCCCCATTAATCTGATCAGGAGGCCATCTTCCTATAAATGTGTTCATAGAAAACACATGCACACCTTAATAGTTAACACACACAGAGCAGCCTATAGATATTGCACGTCGATCTATGGTGGAGGTGTCGTCCTCAAACTCCACAAGGTCCAGGACAGTGCCTTCCTCTGCAATGCCAAAAACCTCACTGAATCAAGAGAGACTGACTAGATAGCTCAAGGTCACTGAGCAGTACCACAGAGTACGTCAAAAAGCCTGTATGGGCAATGTCTCGTGAAGTCTTCACAAACGCGCGGACAGGCAGCAGATGGTGCAAGCAAGCAGCAGAATGACAAAGCAATGAAAGCGCTATATCAATGACGAAGGGTGTTACGCAAGAAGGGGTTAATGAAACCTATGACCGAATTAAGTCATTTTCGAGAATAGTGAAGCAGAATGTGGGCAGTCCGAGTGAAATCTGGGAGTAGCAGAGGTACTAAATCAGACTGTGTTGGCGATGGAGGGTGTCAGAATTATATCCTTTGTACACACACACAAAAAAAAAAAGAGAGCGAGAGAGAGAGAGAAACAAAATGTAAACCCTATTTTTCCAGGGACAAGTGCACTTTACCGATTCATGTCCTTATAAAAGCAATCCTTTTCTCGTATTGTGTTTTCTGCACTTCTTTTCAAAGGGGATCGCATGTAGATTTGCCAAAACGGCCTCAAAAGGTCTCAAACCTGTTTTGAGAACGGAAAAGGACTTCGTGGATGAGCTGTGGATGAGAATGGTTCAATAATGTGAACCGAAGTTGTTACCTCTTCTTAAAGTGACGCATGTCAAATGAGAATCTTCTTGTAAAGGGGAGAACTAAGCATCCAGGCGTTCATATGGTTAAATTACATTACAGACCCCCAGAACAGACAAGTCAAGCTGTTCATCTTCAGTCAGTTTAAATGTTTAAAAGTCTTTCTTTTCTTTAAAGCAGAATGTGACAATCATCGGGAAAGAAAACATAAACGTCCAACAGAACGGTTTTGAGGGCCCTGTATCCTGAATTCCCCAAACAGCATCATTCTGCCTTCTGTTCATAAACGCTTGAGGTGAGAGCAACACCTGTGCTCTGCATCCCTACGGTACTTTAGATGAGGAGAAGCAAAAATTTACAGTATACAAGGTTTGGATTCACCATGCAAGAATACTTGTTTTACTTTTTACTTATTTCTGTTTTTTCCTTGTGAGTGTGTTGTGTAACATTTAATAAGCTCAAACTACATCCAGAGTAATTTACATAAAAGGACAATAGTTATTAGAAGAGAGCTGGATGAGGTGGTAACCATAGTAATGAGTGCATCCTGAAGAGCAGGTGTGGGAGTGGCCAAAGTGGTGGCGTTGGTGGGGAAAGGGAAGGGGCGGAACCTATGGCGATCAGCGACATTCCCACACTTTGACCGTTTGATCTACACTTCCTGTCACCACGTAAGGAGAAGTCTTGTGGAAATCTGTGGAAGAAAGGATGAATATTTCAGGATGAAGATTTGATAGTGTAATGAGACCAAACGTCACCATTTCGTTTCAAGAATTTCCAGGCAACAACGTCTGCTTGGCTTACCCAGAGAGGTAACAAAGTGTTCATGGGCACTCAGGGTCTTCATGCAGCGCTTGTTCTTATAGTCCCAGATACGAAGGGTCTTGTCATCAGCGCAGCTCACTACGAATCTCCCACCAGGATGGAACAGCACTCCACGTACCCAGTTATCATGACCGACCTGAGAGGCCAGAGAAGTAAAAGATGAAAGAAGAATGATAAATTGTGAATAAGAGCTCAGAATTTGCCATATGATTCAGTATAATCTGATCTAATAAAAGGGGAGAATCACTTCAATGTGTATTTGAAAAAGCGGTTTGCTTATATTTCACCAATCCATCAAATACAGAGCAGTAATACAGTACATGTTCAGAATATGTATAATACTCAAGTATTCCAATGCAAAGTTTCTATATGCATGGAATACTGTGAATACATTTGACCAAAATGTGCAATATAAAATAGAACATTGTACTGGGTGCTACACCCCACAATGCAATGCAACTTTCCATTAACAGCATGAGAAATAAAGCAGAAGGGATCAACTGCTACTTTAAATGTCTCCTCTTTAACTCATTATTTAACTGGGCTGTTATTGACTCCTTGCATAAACAAAATTGGATTCAAAAATATAACATTTTTGTTTCCAGAAATCATGAACTCAAATTCAACATAATGACATAATGTGACAATGTAATATACTACTGTCTGAAAATATTGATCATTGAATAAATGTATGGTAGACTATTTCCACCATGAATAAGAAAAAAAAGCCATGTTTTGGTAAAGTCATTAATTATGACACAAGATTAAATTATTTTGTAATAACATTATAAAATGTGTCAAAATTATGACATATCAAGTCATAATGAGATAAGCTGAAACTGATAAGCAATTATGACCAAAAGTCAAATTTATGACACAAAAAGTCATAATTACGAAAATGTCATCATTTTGAAAAAACATTCCGACTTGTCAGGTATGACTTAGCATCTCATAATTTCAACTTGTCAATGTTTTTCTCATAATTATGACAGTGCAGTCACATTTCAACAGGAATCCACATAATCAGGAATTCACACAAATTTCCCATGCAGATTTCGCAACAGGTTCAAGTCACCGTGTTGACCAACAGAAAGTTGCTTAGTTTGAAAGTGACTTCTGTGTGAGCCGTGCTTCATACATCATTACACTGTGACTGATAATAGACAAAGGACCTTTCTTGATGCCTGAAAAATTTCACAAATCTCATAATTTAGTATAAAAATTTTATAATTTTTATTTACAACTTATGACAATATCAACATTTTATCTCAGAATTATGACTTAGTATCTCATAATTTCAATTTATGTCATGATGAGGTCTTGTATCTTCAAGTTTGACATATGTCATAATTATGATTTAACAAAACATTTTTTTCTATTATGTGGCAGAAATGGGCTTCCATAGTGCTTTTTTTAAATTTTTTATTAAGTATGCAGTAAGCAGTATTTTGTTTTTTATTCTGAACACAGACAGTGTGACTATAGATATCATACAATGAAGCTGCCTGAACTATAGCTTAACTCACCAGTGTCATAAGGCACATGCCAGTACTTATGTCCCACATTTTAATGGTCTTGTCTCTGGATCCAGATAACAGGAATGGCCCAGGCTTTCCACTTTTCTTGTTCTGCAAGAAGAGAGTAAACATGACAAATTATTAAAAGAAGACAATATATCTTTCTAGAGTATCACGATTAGGGATGGGTATCGTTTGCATTTTATCGATACCGATACCGCTTATCGATACCGGTACTTATCGATAGTGTTATCAATACTATTTGGTGCAAAAAGATATGAAGTGAAAAGCGGTTTAAAATTTCAAGTTATTGTATTACTACTGAACTTTATCAACTGTATTAAAGTTCTTCAGTCAAGAGCAGTGAGTTTTTTTTCTCTTTGTGTTTTATTTTATTAACATTAAAGGAATGGTTCACCCAAAAATGAAAATTGTGTCATCATTTACTCACTCTCAAGTTGTTTCATCTGCCTTTGACATGTGTGGTTTGTATGGAAACCTCTGCTCCAAACTCAAACGCTTCTCACAGCGCTGTTTAGTGGTCTCGTGATCGAGATCAGTCAGCGAGTAAACGCATTTGTTCTGAGCTCGCGCTACGCTGTCTTTAGGCAGAGCTAACGGTCCGTGCAGCGCGGTTCAAACGAGTCGCGCTCTTCCGCTTTTGACGCGTTTAGGAATTCGTGTGCGCTAAAGAAATGAGAGTGCATATGAGTTATCAAATTGATATCACTCGTGTTTTACTGCTACATCTGGTCTAAAATTTTGTGTTTTTATTGACATTTTGAAACTGCATAGGCCTATTTTGTAAATTATGCTTGGCGGGCCATATATAATATAGACTATTAAGACAGCTGCGGGCCGCTTAAAATTAATCCATGGGCCACATTTGGCCCACGGGCCGTAGTTTGGACACTCCTGCTTTAAAGACAAGCGGCAGCATGTTTAGTACTGACTATTAAGACAGCTGCGGGCCGCTTAAAATTAATCCATGGGCCACATTTGGCCCACGGGCCGTAGTTTGGACACTCCTGCTTTAAAGACAAGTGGCAGCATGTTTAGTACTGCCGCTTTAAGAGCTGCACGCATCTGTTTTTCTCTCAACTGTTTACTTTCACTTTAGACATAATTAACTGTGTTTATATGTAAATCTTGTGTGTTTTTGACCGTATTAGCACAATCAGACGATAAGATAACCAAGTAATCAGGTGCTGTTTGACCGGCCTTTTAGTGTACGGACGCTTTGGGTGTACGCGCTCTGAATAAGCACATGTTAGAACAGCACCCGAATAAAACGTTTAACCGGCAAGGCCTTAAAGCATGCAGAAATAATGTACTTTTGTGATTGCGAATAAGTCTCGTGAACTCTACCGAATCAACATTTGATGTGAATGTGTCTCGCGAGTTTCAGTTGGAGCTGGAGCCGCGAGACATAATACAGTGCATTGCTTGAGATGTTGTATTTTGTTAGTAAATGTTTCATTATATTACTAGTGTTGCCTCCTTTGTTCACTATTACACTACTGCATATATTGCATCTGATACTCTCGTCGCCTAGTTTTGTAACGTGAGCCCACACTTTCAAACATTTCACTCTTGCCACGATGACTAATCGCACGCAAACACACACAGCACCATGTGCATGGATATCACGCACACATCGGGCAAACGTCGGCCACATCATTCAAGTGAAGGAAAATGACAAGCAGCAGCTTCTAATTCATCGTTAACATTGAAGTATAGGGATAAAAAACAACGCAAGTATCGATAACAGTATCATTTGTCCTGAAGCTATCGGTATTCCGGTATTGACCCAATTACGTACCGGTCCAAAAAAATACCGTTCTCGGTACCCATCCCTAATCACGATGATGCAGAAAAGGGAAAAAGAGGGAAAGCTCTAGGGCTGCCCCGCTAAGAGTCAACTAAACATTAGTCGACTAAAATTTTATTAGTTGGTTAGTTGCAGAAAAAAAAAAACGGTCATTGTCAATGACAGATAGTTAATGGCTGGTCCTTGAAGTAATTACAGTATATCGGGCAGAAAATACAAACGTTTGCCTATCATTCATTGACCTCAAATATGGCTTATCATTTGAAACTGAAACATGCAAAGTAGTAGCAAATTTACATGGCCGTTTGCTCTAATGTTACCCTAGATAAATGTGCACTGTTGGGCGCATATCCAAGTGTTTGTGCGGAGTGTGGAAGCTGTTACGCCTTGTTTACATTGCACATGTCCGCTGCGCATTACGGCTCCGACAAGGTTTTGTTCCATCCTCCACGCGGTGCCAACTCACACCAGGAGCATTTCAGAAGCGAAGCAACCGGATTTGCGAGACCACGAGATTTGCTTCTCTGACATTTGTTCTTGATTTTTCGTGTTTTTTCTTGATTTTTGGGGTTCTACCATGGTTAAGTTGACTAAATGGTAATGTTTTGTCCGGTTTAATTGTGTTTATTGCCATGTCCTGCTTTGTTGTGCTATAGCCTATAGACAAAGTTAATAAACTTAAAAGTCCAGTTATGAACAACAAGGATAAAAGATTTGTAGCTGTGTTTTAGTCTGCACAGCGTGTTTATTTTGTATTTTAACTGTGCGGCTTGGACGTGGTGTCCGTCAAAAATAGACTAGGCACCTATCTTTAGTGAAGCAGCATGGAGAGCCGCTTCCGGGACTCTTCTAAAACGTGCCACAGTGTGGCACGGCTGGTATAAACACAAGCACTGACTAGAGTGGCCGCAATCAGCTCCGTTGGCCATTTCAGAGCCGTAACGCGCTGCAGACGTGTGCAGTGTAAATAAGGGGTTAGTGTGCTACTGCATGACTTGGAGGCGTTGGCACGATCACTGGCATTTTTTCTTGATAACAGTAAGAATATAAGAATAATACATACACATGATCAAGGGTCTACTTTTATTTGATGAGCAATTAATCGCAACATGAAAATTTGATACCGGCATATCCATAATTTGCACACACTCATAATATCAACAAGACATTGTGCTTTTGTAAATATAAAAAAAACAGGATGCGCTATCTGACGTCTCTGTCTCCATGCATTGGAGTGTGGCACAAAACCCATGCACGTCACAACTCAACGTATAGGCAATTTGCCTCAGATATAAAATAAATGTGTGATCAGTTAGTTGACTAGAAAAATCTTTAGTCTTGGGCAGCCTTAGAAAGTTCAACACTATGTACCTCAGAGCCTGTAGCCTCAGATATGGTGGGGTGTGCGCTCTCAGGGGCCCAGGAAATACACTCCACCACGTGCTCGTGCTCCCGCAGCTCCGCCTTGCACTCTTTGTTGGCCACCACCCACACGCGCACCGTCTGGTCATTAGAGCAGCTGGCCAACAGTGTGCCATCTTGATTGGGCCGGACCATACGCACCCACTCCCTGTGACCCGTGAACGTCTTCACACAGTAACTGACGCAAGAGAGAGAATCATTATACACTGACACACAGAATGTTTTGTATTGCTTTGCAAAAAAAAATACGAATAATGTAATTACTTGTCTTGAGTCAATAACATCGGAAAAAACTACAAGACATTCAGAGCAATACATGTGACTCATTGAAATCCTTGCAGAGTACAGATTCAGATCACAATTAGCCCACACAATGCACTTATGTATTACTCACCCAGTGGCCACCTCCCACATTTTAATGGTCTTATCCCTGGAAGCAGACACTATGTGATCACCGTTGGGCATGATGGCAACTGACGACACATTGTGATCATGTCCTGAGGATGTGAGGAAGACGAATGAGATATGGAGTGCAAGGAAACGCTTAGTTACAGTTAGTCTCAAGCAACTGGACTTTTGACTTGTGGCATAACCATCCAATGTCAAAAAAAAACAAAAAAACCTGAATCCTCATTTGAAGTATCTAATGTCATTTACTGACCGATGTAAAGGACAAGACTTATGGCATATGATTAAAAGAGGCACCTTTTGTACTTGAGAGAGAGATTAAAGCTGTCATCCTGGTTAATCCTGCCCCCAAACTAACCTTTACCCCTCCCCCTGGACCAACCGGCCCTGTCTGTGTCTCAGCGTCCAGAGAGAGGATTTTCCAGTTCACTAAGGATCCCAGGAAGCTTTAAGCCTATATTGGAAGTAGCTGCAGTACATGGCGGGTCAAAGGCCATTTAAGGAATTTCTTCCAGCAGTAGATTTGAATAATGGTAATAATGTGGTAGCAAATGCAGGAAATATGTACCGTGCATGGTCCTGATGCACTCAAAACCCTGGAAGTCCCAGAGTTTGATGGTCATATCTGCAGAACAAGAAGCCAGCAGCTTTCCAGTCTGATCAAAGGAGATGTCCTGCACTGAGTCAGTGTGACCCTTCAGGGTGCGCTCGAAATCCCCAGCCTCGTAGTCCCAAACCTGCAAAACAACGTAATGCAACATACTTACACACTTGCTTCAAAGTTATTCAAAATAATAATAATGTTGCACACTTTCAAAAACAGTTTGTGTAGCTTAAGTAAATCATCTGAGCACTCTGGTACTTTCAGAGCAGCACAGAGAATATACTTTTCAGAATCAAAAGATTTAAATTTTTACAATTTTTCAGAGACCACACCAATACAATTCTGGACAAAACCCATAGCCAATAATAATAATAATAATAATAATAATAATAATAATAAATATTATACATTATATGTAATCAAATAAGAATATATAATAAATTATATACTATATACAAGAATAAGTGTTCAATAACTGATATGATCTGATAACACATATACACAACATTAATGATCCCAAACTTTTGAACGGTAATGTATATGAAATTATGAAAAGAAAAAAAGAAAAAACTAGGGATGCACCGAATGTTTGGCAACCGAAATTATTTGGCCGAAAATAGCAAAAAAAGCTCTCTCGGAATAAGCGAAAAGACCAAATAAATTGTACCGAACAATGACGCGACGAGATCAAATAGAGGCGCGCGCTAATGCAGCAAACATGACGGCAGTGTGGAAACAGCTGTCCGAGAAAGACGCAAAAATCATTACAAGCATCGACAGCGAGAGACTGTTTAGTATTGCATCGCATGTCTTCGATGAGAAGAGAAAGGGTGGTTGTTGCTGATGGTTGTATGATGATTAAAATCGCGAAATGCCCTTAAACAATTAAATAAACTGCAGAATGTTGTTTTCTAATACACGCAGGAATTGCATGTATTCAAACAGCGCTGCACGAGCTCGCGGCGGTAGGGTTCAAAGTCCAAAGCGCGAGGGAAATCTGCGCTGAAACGGTGTTACTCGTCAGCTGCTCAGTAACATTTTTATTAATTTTTACAAGGCATGTGACAATGCGATACGTGCAACAAAAGTCTTCCCAAATTCGTAATGAG